CCCCCAGGGACAAACACGAACACAAGATATCTATGTTTGAATCCGAGAGGTCCTGGCAGTCATGGAAGTAGGCGGCCATCACCAAAAACGTGGGCTGCCCAGGCACCTCGACGATGCCTGCCAGAGCCCTCGACGGTATAATGATAGCTCCAGAGTCAGGAGCCCGCAGACCAAGCCCATCACGAACAAAAAGAGCGACTCCCGATGACGGGCCTTGACCATCACCAGGCACAGCAGCACTCCATAAACTTTTCCACCCGTGGCGTCTAGCCCAGGAAGAACCAGAATCGATTTGGTCAGCCAACTGCTTATGCTCCTGCATGATCACGATATCAGCACTAGTCTTCTGCAACCAGAGCTGGCCAGGCCCCCACCCTGAGACATTACAGGTTTCAACTGAGGGCGAAAAATATTCAACAGGAAAAGCATTGGCCTCCATGGGCCTGATCAACTGCACATCGGACCTGGGAGGAACACCAGGCAAAAGCGGGCCCCTAAGGGTCATAGGTTTCGACGGCCGAGCAGAAACACCATTCGCCAGCAGGGCCCCCTTGGCCCTGACTAACGCATGCTGAACCGCCCGAACGAGAGGGCCACTGTGGGCCCACAAAAAATTAGTATTAGAGACCGCATGTGACTCAGAGGTGCCCTGGGAGATCCACTCAGGGCTGGCCAACACACAGGCTGCAGTGGGGGAGGTACCCCCTCCGTTGGAAGAAGTCAAAAAGTTCTGATCTCGCTGGCTCCCCCCCTCAGGCGCTCCCGCCTTTGGGGGGGTCTGATTGTAAAATCTTGGCTGCACGCGCCTTGGCATCAGAACTCGCCGATGGCGCGCCCGTACCGCTTGATGGAGCCGCCGTGGGGGGAGTCGACTCTTGACCAGCCTCCGGAGCTTCACCACCAGGAGTCTGCGCAGCGGCTGAATGACCCACTTGCGGACCATCATCTTCAGCTTCTGCAGCGGCGCCTGGTACAAGAACCTTCCGCTTCTTGCCAGCCAAGCGTGACTTCTGCTCCTCCATCTCCTTACGAACGCGTTCAGCATGAGCCTGCGCGGCACCAAAGAGTTTCTTCGCCTGCTTCTGGATCTCGTCATTGAGTGTCTTGAGCCGAGCCGCAGCCTCGTTTCTGTCCTCCTCATTGAGGTCATAGTCTGCTTCCCACTCCAACAGGCTGGACATGTCAATGGGTAGCGGTTGTCCACCAAGCAGGTCAGCGATGGAAATCTTGACCTCCTGCTTGACAGAGCCCTCGGGGTTCCGAGGCCGATCATCCACCGACTGGTGCAACTGCTCCACCAGCTCCTTGTGTAGCTTCTCCGAGGCCTCCAACTGCGAAGTAATCGACTCCACATTGGCGCGGGCCTGGACCAGCTCGTTGGAGATGCGCTCGAAGGACTCCACCGCTTTGGACAGTCGGGCCTCCAAGCTCCGCATGCTGTGGTACGCCTGGTTGACCTTCTGCTGCAAGGGGGGCTCAACCTTCTTGGCAGCGGCCATCTCGTCGAGCTTGTGTTGATAACGCTTTGCTGATTCTTCGTCACCCTGGGCTCGCAACAACTGTACCAGTGATGCAATCCGAGTGTTCTCGTCGGGGGGTAGCTGGACTCCTCCTGCGCCTGGAACTTGCGGGCCAGGATGAAGAGGAGCAGCACCACCGGGAGCCAGCATCGGATTAGCAACCCATGTCCCTGGGGGCGGCGGCCCCTGTGCCCACACTCCGCGAGGAGCGGCGGGCTGTTGGAACGATGGTGACGAACGCCAAGCCCAGCAGTGTTTGCACTGCTGCCAGGCCTGCTTGTTCTTCTTGCAGCCGCAACTCGGACAAGTCCACCTCGATGAGGGTGCATCGCCGTGCTGGGCGCCACCCTTTCCACCGAACGTAGAACCTGTCTTGCCTCCTTTGCCGAATCCTTTGCCTTTGTTGAAGGACTGGGCATACTGCTGCTGCTGCGCCTCCAGCTGCCAAGGCGGGATCGGCCCTCCCCAGTTCGCCGCTGCTGGGGACGGCACCGCCATCGCGCACACAACTGGATGGGTATCGTGGTAGGAAGCGCGGGACTCCGCCCGCAGAAACGAAAGAAGGCTCGCAGGAACGCGGGCCCTTCTGAAGAACTGTTCCTGCAACGCTACTCGAGCGCAGAAGGGCTAGGAGGAGGAGAAGGAGGAGGAGGAGGAGGAGGAGGAGGAGGAGGGGGAGGGCTCCCCTCCCCTCCCCTCCCCAGGGGGGGCCCCTCCCCCGCTGGGCTCAGGACGCGCTCTGGGAGTGTTGGGGGTATCTGGCGGCCCGGGCTTCTGCAGCCCGCGTGGGACATGAGGGACGCTGGGGCGTCCTGGAAATCTGGGGAATCCTGGAACTGCGAACTGCGACCTGCGACCTGCGAGAATGCACCGCGAGGGTGCCGCAGGGAGGGGCCGAAGCGCCCAGGTTGAGGTGAAACGTACAGACAATGCGTGGCAACATGATTACAACGAAAATTCTACAAAATCCTGCTCAAGGCTCCTCCATGCACTCGACTGCGCAATGCGTATAAGACTGCGCAATGCGTCACACGGCGCCCCGGCCTCCATCAGAATGTCCTTGTCCGCGTCGTCCCATTTGTTGCCCGGGAGCCCTGGAAATCTGGGGAATCCTGGAGCGCAGCATCACCACGACCTGCCGCACCTCAAAATAAATTCGGCGGCGAAGTCCGAGGCCTGCCCTCGCCGAGCAGCGGCTCGAGCAACTGGATGGGCGGCGGGGGCATGGCTCGGAATGTCGGCCACGCGGCGACATCCGAGCCCTACCCCCACCAACCATCGATTCCACCCAAAACCGACCAGATTAAACACGCTGCGTGTTGATTCACCGCGGGCTGGCCCGCGTTGTGCCGAATGCGCCGCGCCGGACTTACTTATGTTTTTGATATACGTGCTGAGCTCCGCATCGGCAAGCCCACGGGTTGCGTGTTGCGCATCGCCGAAGACAGAGGCCCAGCGCAGGGCCCGCCCATGGTCGCAGACCGCACGCCTCGTGGCGGACACGGGCTGCGCGCCCAAGGAGGGCCGTCCTCGCGCACAACGGCGCCAGCAACGGGGGGGGGGGGGGACGGGCCGACCGGAGGCTCGCCGTCGGGCGAGGCCATGGCCTTCCAAGCGGGTGAGGCCAGCGCGCCCGAGGAAAAGCATTCTCCAGCGCTCTTCGTCCCCTCCAAGGGTGGAGTCTTCAAAGTCCTGGCCAGCGATGTCCTGGCTTCGGGGGCCCCAGTGAGAGGCAGCGGTGCTCCGCGGGCGAAGCATCAAGTCGGACATGTCCCCCTACAGGGGGATGTTCGACGAAAAATAACATATACCCCAGAAATAATCCAAAAATGCTCCAAAAATAGTCTGGTGACTATCTTTTGAAGGTTTTTTTGACTTTTGTTGGGGCATTCGGTGCGCTCTCCGTGGTTGCTGGTGCGCGATGCCTCGGTGCACCGGCCGACGGCCAGCGACGCCTGCCGGCGCAGGAGCTGCCCGCCGCCGAGGCCGCAGCGCGCCGCGCGGCGGAGGGCGCGCCCGAGCGGCCGCGCACAGTGACCTGCGAGGCCCCGAGCAGACACTGCACAGTTTTTTGATCCGCGGGTCGAGGGCGCACCTCTTCCTGTCGAAGCTAAGCGGGCCGCGCACAGCTTCAATGGACAGAGGGGGGAAGGCAGGAGGAGGGGCCTCACGTCAAGGCCAGGAGGGGGCAAAGCCCAGGAATCAGGCGGTGCCGAAGACGATGTGCGTGCAAAGGAACGCCTGGTACAGGAACCTGGCGGCGAAGTACCGGAAGCACAAACAAACCTTGCACAGGCATACAGCTAGAAAAAGTGCGCTGGTAAGACAGCGTAACCGTGGACATCAGGCCGGCACGCCATCCGCTCTCAGCTGCGTGCGCACACGCGCACCTGGGGCCTCTCCGGCCGTCCAGGGCCCCTCTGGGCCGTCTAGGGGTCTCTGGGGCTGCTCGGGGCCCTCTTGGGGCTCAGATTCGGCCGTGGGCCCTCTCAGAGCGGCCCGAGGCGCCCCTGGGCCGTCTTGGAGCTCGCCGACGGAGAGACGTCAGCCCCACGGTTCCTCCACAGCCGCGGCCCCTTCCGGGGACGCTGCCGCGCCGTCACGACACGGGCTCGCCGCCACACGCCTGCCCACCCAGAGATCCGGATCCGGCGCTCCGATGCTTTCGATGCGTGGGCACCGGAACTATTTGAGCAGGGACCGACCGTCCCGGCATTCCTATAGTCCTACCACGACATGTTCTTAGAACCCAAAGATGTTCTACGAACAAAAACAATGTTCTTAGAACATTCGCCCGATGTGTTAAAACAAGACGGCCTCCGCCCAGAAGTGTTCTAAGGACATTTCCTGGAAACCACAACGGGTTCTTAGAACATTGCTTGGTAGGGCTATAGGCGAGCCAGGACGCTTCGCCACTGCTTCAACTATGAACAACTTCCCTGGGGCTGGTCTTTCATTCCAAGTCGTCTTTTGACGGTCCAGGGGCCCGTCGAGGGGCGCCGGGAGGCCGAACACGGCAAGCAAAAGGACCGTTCAAACTTGCCCGGAGCCTCGCATCTCCGGGCAGGGACGGGGCTCCGCAAGCGGAGCCGGCGCGCGGACGGCACTCCGCGCCCTTTCGGGCTTACTCTTGTTTTACGCATCTCTGGCGTCTTGTTCTTTTTCCCCAGCCGCGCGCGCCCTGCTTGATTCGTTACAGTCGAAGCGTTGACCTAAGGAACCCTGAATAAGGAACGAGGCCCCTATTTTCCATGAGTTGAACTTCGATTTCGTATCGAAAACCTAAGGAAAAGCCAAGGCCAGCTGCGAAACAATTAAGGAACGCGGAGCCCCTCCCCAACGAACAGGGTTCCTTCTTCAGGGCCCCGACTGTACGCACTCCGTCAAAGTCGGCCTCTCTTGTGGCGCCTTCCTGCCACCGAGCGCTACAAGCTTGGCACCTGGAGCCCGCTCCACTGCAGAACGCGCGCGCGCGGCCAGTCCTTCACCCCGAGCATCTCGTGGGTGCGCCTCAGGAAGCGCTGCGCTGTCGCCCACTCGCCTCGGATGCCGGCAGGGGGGCTCTGGAGGGGGCCCACGCATCGATCGCCAAGGCGGGGGGTGGGGGGGGGGAAAGGGCCCCTCCTCGGGGCTCTCGACGGGCCGTCTCTCCCCCGCTTCCTCGCGTCGTGCACAAAAGCACGACGGCACCTTTCGTTTCTGTTTTGGGTGCTCTTCCCCCCCCCCCCCAAATTTTACAGCCAGCGGGGGCCATCGCTGGGCCCTGGGAGAGTCAGAAAACATGATCGACCCACGAACCCGGAAAGGAATATAGAAATGTAACGCGTGGCAGCGCTTTCAATGACACCTGATTGGGTGACGGGCAAATGCAATGCTGAGTGTATCGATCTTGATGTACCCTGCCGAGGGCTGTGCTCCGAGTCCTCCTTTGCATCCGAGTCCTGACCGAACTGATCTGGATCTTAAGCTCGAGCTGCCTGAACACATAGTAGCTGCCCCAGAGCTAATTGACAAGGGGACATGCCAGGAGGACGCGCCGCGAAACGTCCCAAGGGACGCGCCAAGCGACGTGCCAGGGGACGTGCCATGGGGACGCACCGCGGGACGTGCCAAGGGGACGCGCTACGGAAGGTGCCAATGGATGTGCCACGGGATGTGCCAAGGGACGCGCCACGCGACGTGTCGGGGGGACTCGCCAAGGGACGCCTCACGGAACGTGCCAAGGAACGTGCCAAGTTGCAATGCTGAGTGTGTCGATCTTGATGTACCGTGCCGAAATCTGTGCTGTGCTGCGCCGTGCTGAATGGCGATGTGCCATGCCGCGATTGTGCTCTATAGCGTTGTGGATCGAGTCCTCCTTTGCATCCGAGTCCTGACCGAACTGATCTGGATCTTAAGCTCGAGCTGCCTGAACACATAGTAGCTGCCCCAGAGCTAATTGACAAGGGGACATGCCAGGAGGACGCGCCGCGAAACGTCTCAAGGGACGCGCCAAGCGACGTGCCAGGGGACGTGCCATGGGGACGCACCGCGGGACGTGCCAAGGGGACGCGCTACGGAACGTGCTGGGGACAAGCGTTTCGCTCGAGACATCCTGTCAACATCCTCATGCTAAACATCCGCCTGAGCGACCTGGACACGTGAAACCAAGCGTTTCGCTCAACACATCCTCAACACATTCTCATGCTAGACATCCGCCTGGGCGAATTGGACATGTGAACACAAGTGGTTCGCTCGAGACATCCCCAACACATCTTCATGTGAGACGTCCGCCTCGGTGACCTGGGCACGTGAAAACAAGCGTTTCGCGTGAGACGTGTTCAACACCTCCTCATTAAAGACATCCGCCTGGGCGACCTGTACACGTGAAAGCAAACGTCTCGCTCGAGACATCCTCAACACATCTTCATGTTAGACACACGCCTGGGCGACCTGGACACGTGAAAACAAGCGTATCTCTCGAGACACTCTCAACACATCCTGATGCTAGGCGTCCGCCTGGGCAACCTGGACACGTGCAAACAAGCATCTCGAGCGAGACTTCCTCAACACGTCATCATGCTATACATCCGCCTGGGCGACGAGGGCGCGTGAAATCAAGCGTCTCGCTCGAGACATCCTCAACAAATCCTGGCGCTAGACCTCTGCCTGGGCAACCTGGAGGCGTGAAACCAAGCGTCTCGCTCGAGACATCCTCAAGACCTGGGCACGTGAAAACAAGCATTTCACTTGAGAGATCCTCTGAATTCTGGCCCCCAGGAGAGGACAATCTATAACACAAAACAAGCGTTTCGCTCGAGACATCCCCAACACATTCTGACAAACAAGTGTTTCGCTCGAGGCATCCTGAAAATTTAATTCGCCAGCCCACCTCGACCTCGATATCTATCGCAAAAGAGACTCGCCAGCCCACCTCAAGTCAAAACCGGGGGTAAACCATCCAATAAGAGAGAACCCTGGGCCTATTCCCTTTCCGGGAAAAAGGGCCAGTCTCGGGGGAGCGGTCGAGACCTCGAGGGATCGACGCCGCGACAGAGGGGAAAATTGTATAGACATAAAACTGCCTCGAAGACGGACATCTTCCCAAAGACTGACAGTTATCCGAAGACTGACAGTTGTTCGAAGACGGGACATTGTATAGACATAGACTGTCTCGAAGACGGACATCTTCTCAAAGACCGACAGTGCTTCGAAGACGGACAAAAATCGGGGCTCCTCGAAGAGGAACAACTGGTATAGGCAGAAGCTGTCCAAGGTCCGTGCGGATTCTTTGGATCGGCGCTGAACCCCACCCCTCCCCGTGCAGCGGCGCCCCCCGGCGCCGCCGCCCCCCAGCGCGCTCCGCGCGCCAGGGAGGGAAGTGGGCGTGGATCCAAGAAATCTGCCCGGACCTCCGAGAGTTCATGCTTATGCAACTTGCTATTCTCCCGCTTCCCCTTTCGAGCCGCAGCCGCCACAGACGGTGTGATACGAGCACCCCGCTTCCGATCCGCTACCTCGAACCGCTCGGCCCGGTCCAACTTCTGTGGCGTCGTGCTCTTCCCTCGGCGGAAGCCCCTGAAACTTTCCACCTCATCCCTGCAACCAGCTTCTCGCCGCGGGCTACAGTCGGGGCGTTGACCTAAGGAACCCAAAATAAGGAACGAGGCCCCTTTTTCCCATCAGTTAAACTTCGATTTCGCATCGAAGACCTAAGGAAAGCCTGAGGCAAGCTGCGAAACACTTAAGGAACGCGGAGCCCCTCCCCAACCAAAAGGGTTCCTTCTTCAGGGCCCCGACTGTATTTGTGATCATCCTCAGAACTTGCGATCGCGCCAAGATGCTTTCGCCCACCGAAGACCCTCCATGCGACGCAAGGCGGTGCAGTGAGGGTCAGCGCAGGCTGCATGCCATCGGCGGAGCCGAGCGGGGTATAAACACATTGTCGGCGGCGAGCTCAGCGGGGGAAAGCAGATGGGGCGGGGTTTCTACGGAGGCCCGGAAGGCCCTGGGCCTTCTGAAAAATGTCCCGAGCCTTCCTCGAAGGCAGGGACTGCTTCTCAGAAAGCCAGACGGCTTCTGAGAAGCGCCGCCGCCTTCTGAGAAGGCCTGCCCCCTCTCACGTAGCCCCGGGCGCGCCCCCGACATTGGGCGAACGCACGCCCTGAGGATCAACGTTTTTCTGTGTGTTGCGTATTTTTTTGTTCTGAAGGCCCTGGGACCAAACAGCGTCCCCCCCCCCGCCGCGCGGATGCGAGCAAAGCGCCCGCGGGCCTAGGCCCCAGCCGTGCGGCTTGGCGGCGCGCCAGGGGGCGGTGGGGCGAGGGGGTGGCCTTCTGAGAGAGACGACGACGACGACGACGACGACGACCACGACGACGACGACGACGACGACGACGACGACGACGACGACGACGACGGCGGCGGCGGCGGCGACGACGACGGCGAAGGCGAGGCATTCCCAGAAGCCCCCACCCCCTCGCGTAGCGAAAAAGAAAGACGACCTTTTTTGAGCCTTTGCTCCTCCATGTTCGGCCCCCAGTGGCCACGACATTTGACATACTTCCCCCACCCGACAGGCTGGAGCTGTACAACTGTTTAACAACAACATGATCGACCCACGAACGCGAAAAGGAATATAGAAATGTAAGGCATGGAGACGTTTCAAAGACACCTGAGTGGGCGACGGGCAAATGCAATGTTCAATGTATCGATCTTGATGTACTGTGCCGAGAGCTGTGCTGTGCTACGCCGTGCTGAACTGCGATGTGCCATGCCGCGATTGTGCTCTATATATAGCGTTGTGGATCGAGTCCTCGTTGCCACCGAGTCCTGACCGAACTGATCTGGATCTTAAGCTCGAGTTGCCTGAGCAGGTGGTGGCTGCCCCAGAGCTAATCGACAGACGTGACATGCCAGGAGGACGCGCCGCGGAACGTCCCAAGGGACGCGCCAGGCGACGTGCCAGGGGACGTGCCATGGGCACGCACCGCGGGACGTGCGAAGGGGGCGCGCTACGGAACGTGCCAATGGACGTGCCGCGGAACGTGCCAGGTGACGCGCCGCGCGACGTGCCAGGTGGACTCGCCACGGAACGCGCCAAGGAGCGTGCCAAAGTGCAATGTTCAATGTATCGATCTTGATGTACCGTGCCGAAGGCTGTGCTGTGCTGGGCCGTGCTGAGCTGCAATGTGCCATGCCGCGATTGTGCTCTCTCTATATATATATAGCGTTGTGGATCGAGTCCTCGTTGCCACCGAGTCCTGACCGAACTGATCTGGATCTTAAGCTCGAGTTGCCTGAGCAGGTGGTAGCTGCCCCAGAGCTAATCGACAGACGTGACATGCCAGGAGGACGCGCCGCGGAACGTCCCAAGGGACGCGCCAAGCGACGTGCCAGGGGACGTGCCATGGGCACGCACCGCAGGACGTGCCAAGGGGACGCGCTACGGAACGTGCCAATGGACGTGCACCGCGCGACGTGCCAAGTGGACTCGCCACGGGACGCTCCGCGGAACGTGCCAGGCAACATGCCAGGCTGCAATGTTAAGGGTGCCGATATTGATGTACTGTGCCGAGAACTGTGCTGTGCCTGAGCGACCTGGACACGTGAAAACACGCGTTTCGGTCAAGACGTTCTCAGCACATCCTCATGCTAGACATCCGCCTGGGCGACCTGGACACGTGAAAACAAGCGTCTCGATCGAGACTTCCTCGACACATCCTCATGCTAGACATCCGCCTGGGCGAACTGGACACGTGAAATCAAGCCTCTCGTTGGAGACATCCTCAACACATCCTCATGCTAGACATCTGTCTGGGCAACCTGGAGGCGTGAAACCAAGCGTCTCGCTCGAGACATCCTCAAGACCTGGGCACGTGAAAACAAGAATTTCACTTGAGAGATCCTCGGAATTCAAGTCCTCGGGAGAGGATAATCTATAACACAAAACAAGCGTTTCGCTCGAGACATCCTCAACACATTCTGAACAACAAGCGTTTCGCTCGAGATATCCTCAAATGTTAATTCGCTGGCCCTACGCGACCTCGTTATTTATCGCAAAAGAAAT